AAAAATTATACCACCGCACAATAGTCAAACTACTAACCACATCACCAACTTTTGATATCGAATCTGTTGTGGCATTCGCAAAGAGGCAAACTAACGGCTTGAGAAAAATTCGGCCTGACAAACCACGTATGCCAATACTACAACCACCACTTTGAAGGCCAAGCATACACCTGTAGGACAACTAAAAGAGCTATGCAATACCCTACACAACATAATAATTGACAGGCGAGTGTCACCGGCCCTTTCTATCCAAAATATAACACAATCATATACGCTGTTACCATCCTATTCGCACACGGAACTAGAAGGTAAGAACACCTGAAACACTTGAACCAACGACCAGTTGTAAAAACCTCAGAGATGATTCTAATATTTTATTTCCTTTGCCAAAAACTTTATAACAACTGTCAAATGCGACAACTGCAGAAATAACTATTTTTTCTCAACGCACTTGACATTTAAAAAGCCAATGCTAGCGAAAACTAAGTTATCATATAATACACGAAATAACAATGAATTTAGCAAAATTGTCACTGAAGTAATCAATATCAAGATCATCGTTTTGCTGCAGATACTGCTGCTGAAGGACCGAGAAGTAATTGCCTTTGCTGTGCAACCTGCAAAAATTTAGGAGAAAATAACGTCATAACAACGATCAATCTTGATCTGTTAATTAAACCAGAATGATTTAAAAGCTGAATAAACCATTTCCAAAAAAAAAAGTTAGAAGTCAAACAAAAAAAATCCATAAATTTTTTTAAAGTTCAAAGGACCTAGGTGAAATGTACCTGGCTTTTCTCTAAATCTGATTTCTCTTTTTCAATTATATATGGTAAAAGAGTTATCATAGTAGTCGTAGCTCCGATCCAAATTAGTGATTTTGCCAATGAAAACTAAAATGTTCAGTATATAAAAGGCATTGGACTATCAAAGCCCTATTTAACAATTGCAAATTCGAAAAGGCATAGAATAAAGTATCACATGATGGCATAATAAAGCTATTTCTTAATAAACATCATCTCCAAATAAGGATCTAAACACTTAAGAAATATTACAAAGTAACATGTTACTCTGTCGGTACAGGTTTATAACGCAGAAAGCTGTACACTCTGATGTGTTAAAAAACTCTACAACTATTTGTATGGCAGAAATCTACTCCACAAAGACTATGATTTTAAAGCTCAACATTTTCTGATCATTACTGAAACGTAAAAACGTTTAAAAAGCACAATGAACCTGAAAAAACTCAGCGTACAATCCTGGCTTCATTAAAATCATACCTAATGAAGTCAAACCACCTAAGAAAAATGAAAAACACTGCAAATAGTTTGCTTCCAAATAAAGATGCATGTTTTGCTAAAATATACCGATGACTGGATGGCCCAAGTAGTCCACTCCACCGATGACCGCGCTTTCCTACGAACAGATATTGGAAACATTTCCCCTAATCCTACGATTCTCTCCATAATTGTCTCCTCCAACTCATCATCTGGGATTCTATCCCACTCATCTCCTCCGATCACTGCGTCCAGTGCCATGGCCACCCGTCTTCCTCAGCACAAAAAACCACAGCTAGAACCGAAAAAGCATGAAGTGCACAAAAAAATGCGATAGAATCATACTAGCCAGACAGTGTTTCGCAATACAATATACAGAGTTGCTTGACAAAAGCAAAACGGTTCGTAGTCAAGAAGGCGCAACCACCAACCTCAAACATCAACAATTTATTTTTCTCTCCATTACAAAGAACGGATAACAACAGGCTAATGAGATCCATAAGTCAACAATAGTACAAATTTAGCAATTTACCAGAAAGCTGATGTTATACTGAATGTTATTTTTTTTAAACAGAATTTTATGAGCATCCGTAGGTATCTGAGTTCGCAATGCTGACAACGCGGTTTTCAAATGACAAGATAGGGTACGAGACTGCACGAATAAAGCTAGTATTCAAAGTCTAAAACAGAGCAAAACCTGCAAGATTTAATCCCAAGTGGTCTTCAAGCTGTCCACCTTTAAAACCCGTAACAAGAAGGAATTGAATATAAACCTTAACGGGAAAAAAAAACTAGCGAAGATGTCTGAAATAAAGGCAGCGTTCAAAAGTCAATTATTCAAGATAATTTTTTTTAAGGAGCAGATCAATAAGACAATAACAAGCAAGAGTTTAAAGGTATGTGTTTTTTAAGTCTCCATAGGAATCTGCGCATCGCCTCTCGGGGATGGAACTGAAGGTAAAGAATCAGCTATAGCAATGTTCTCCGCAGCTAAGAATTTTTGTAAGGAAGTTTTAGAATCAATGAACAAAACTTCTGCACATTCACGAACATCGCTTGCCTGAAAGAGCATAATAAACACGAAAAAAAATGAAGTGGTAAAAGCTCGGCTGAAATTCAGAACCAAGTTTACTTAGGAAAGTAAGTTAAGACAGCTCTGTTGCGTATAAAAATGAAAAATGAGAAATAACGGCAAAAAATCTAACCGTTACAGTTTCTCTTCCCGAAACCTGAGCGGCGAGACTAGCAGGGATAAGGAGCTGTAGCACATACCGTAAAGAAGCTTTAGTCCCTATCTCGCCTAAAAGCTTTAAAGCAGAATCATCAATTTTGACAGACTCGGCGTCAGCCCTAATCCTTGCTATAGCTATTATTTCGTCAACCTGATACGGTTTTGTGGGAATTATCAGAATACGATCGAGCAGATCAGAAGGAATCCCATGCGGAGATGTCACCTCAGTTCCTCTGAAACCAACAGTAAACTAACAAATCAAAGAGATTAAAAGGAGCAAGAACAAACCCTCTGCATACAAAGACGGTATTATTTCAAAAACTGATATTACAAACCAATTCTTGCCCAGATAATAATTGGAGTTAACCTGCAGATAAGACTTTGACCAGTAAAATATGTCCTTTTTGTTACATAACGATGCTAATTAAGAGTAACTATATTTTTCCAAAGACAGCTGTTTCGGATATTACCCCAGTCAGTAGCTACAACTTACAAAACCTGCTAATTTGTTCAAGTGACAAAACTTCAATTGGTTACTCTCCAAACTACACCTTAAATCTGCTCCAAAAATACAGTTTTTCATACAAATATCTTTTCATGTAACATTAAAACTTACGGTAACCTTATAAAAGTGAAGATAATTAAGAAAAAAAATATGGTGCAAAACCTTTATCATCTGTAATGATTTTTGAAAACTTTTACTATATAATTAAGATACTCCCCGCAGTCAACTAGCTCATGTAAAATAACGCTACTTTCAAAAGACCAATGTAGCTTTGTGAATTTAAAATATGCCAAAAACAGATTGAGTTCTGCATTAACAATTCACTAACTTACTTTTTGAATAGCGATTTGAAGAAAAAGTCACTACAGAGTTGTCATTTATAAAAAATTAGCTTTTAGAAAACGCTTTTTTTCTAAAACGTTTCAAACGCGACTTTCCTCCAAAATACAACTGTTTGATTTCTCTCCGAAAAATTCCAAATAAACTTGGCCATTTTTATGCCATCAAAAGGTCTAAGTTATCAAATGAATTGAAACAGACATTCTAGCAAAAAGCTTAATTTTTATGCACACTCGAACCCGCAGTTAATACATTTTTCTTCAGTAATCCTACTCCGCCTAAAAAAAGCAGAACATTTTTGAGTAAATCTGTTTAAGTGATCTGATCTGCGAGGTGTTCAAAGTCTGCCACCTATAATTAACTAGCTATCAAAAAGTTTAGCCGACGACTACCAAACAAAGCTTGCTGCACTAGCCGGGATCAGAAAACTTCTTAAAACTTACCTAACTTTACATCTTCCACGATTAGTAGCAAGAATCACTATAGGGCTTATTGGACTCTCTAAAGCACGATGGAGGTAGGTAAAACATTCTAGATCGAGCATATGTACCTCATCTATAAATAAAACGCCAGGCATCAGCTCCGCTATTCCCTGAAATAAAAATACAAAGATGCCTTCAAAGGCAGGATAGCAAAAACAAAAATCTTTTAATCAGATTGCAACCTGTTCAATGTAGTCATTAACTACGTCGTTAACTTCCTGCCGTAATCGATCTGTTATTTCAGTTTTCTTCGGTTTCAGCATCTGGTTCACTAGCTGCATCATATTTCCACTTTGTCCGTGTGGCATTGCATTTGCAAGATCCAGGTCATGTAAAGTGACGTCCTTAAAACACAACTTGCGTAATCAGAATCAAAATTAAAGAAGCACAAAATATTTTCAGTACTGACAAAGCAGTCTGGGATATGCTTTCTGCACTGTTAAATTTCATGTTTTCTACCAATTATTTTCTTTTCTTCCTAACTATTAAGTGATGTTTACGTCACATTACGCTCTGATTTCTTGAGCATAGTCTCATTGTAGTTAAAACTTACTACCCAGTAAAGTTAATAAAACTAAAACAAATTTAAAAACTTGAAAACAGTGTGAAAAATAAGCTCAGCGAGGTCATTATAATGTTCCACTATTGCGAAAAACACAAAAAGAGTCAGCTTTAGTAAAAAATAACAATCAAATACATAGCGCCACCTGAACAACCTCCTTCGTTTTTCGAACTTCGCCTTTTGGCAGCGGGATAAACTCATCAGCCTCGAGATCAAATTCCGTTGCATAAAGGTCACATCGTCCTAATCTCTAAAGCTAATTTCCTCAAGCAGGCAAAGTAAATCGACAGTAACTAAAGACACTCTGGATTATACAAAGCACTAACTTTCACAGCTCCAGAATTTGCTTCTATATAAATTACATCTCCTCGCTCTACTTTCTGTTTCAAAATACTGTCGTATATATTTGGGTCCAATTTCAGCTGTCTGCTGCCCTTCACAGTTTTTAACGTAATGAGGACGTGGACAATCGTCTAAATTATTGTGATAAAAAATAAGTTATATACAAAAAAACAGTAAGGATTGGTTTCACCGACTAATACCAAAAAATAATTCCAAATTTAATATACCTTGCCGTAGCCACTACTAGAATCATCTGCTTCTACAGGAGTTAATTCTGTAACTTCCCCTTCATACACATCTTTCTTCTCACGCACTCTTAGACCTGATAAAAAATTTGATATCGTAACAAAGTAAAGCAAACATTATTTAAAGTTCAAGAAGTGAATCAAATACCAGTACAAATGCAAGTTACAAAAACTACTTGAAATGCATGATTTAAGTAATACCTTACCAATTGAACGACGAAAATTCTCCATCAAGATTTCTGTCTTTTTGACTTCGGCAGAATAAACCTCAGACCCAACCATGGGACAAAACGGAATTTTGTTCCCTAATTCTTGAGCTATAGCCAGTGCAATAGCAGTCTAAAAGAACACGATACGTTAACAAAAAAAAAAAAAAAAAAAAA